GGGGGGGGGGCGTTTGGCTACTCCATCCACCCGACCTACACCATCTTGATCCATACGGTTGGGGCGTAAACCCACCATCTCACGCTTTTCGCAACACTCGCACAATCCGCCCACAATTGACGCAAGGATGAAGTGGATGGGTGCGCTTTTCATGGGCGTTGCTGGCGTCTATGCTCAAACCGCCGGTGTGCCCGGTACGATCAACGTTGGCAACGGCCAGACTGCCGCCACGTTCCCATCGGGACTGGGAGGACTTTCAACCGGTACCACCGCGGTGTTTACGCCCGGTGCGGCATCGTCGGCTTCGGTTTCGCCGTACTACGTTGCGACGGATGCTGCTCAGTCGTCGACGCTCGCTTCGCTCAACACGCACTACTCGCAGGCCATCTCGGCTGCCACCCCCACAACAGGCCCTCCCACCGGCATCTCCACTGGCGTCCCAGGCGGCTTTACAGGAACCAACACGGTCTCGATCCTCGACGGTCAGATCACAACCATCCCCAATGCCGCAACTACCTACACGGGTCCAAGATCCACCACCGCCTCAGCCGCAGGCGCTTCCAGCAATGCGCTCGCCAATTTCGATACCAAGCCAGTGTCGGCTATGGCAGCAGTCTCCTTCATCGCAGTCGCAGCCGCTGCCTACATGCTCTAGGATTTACTACCCTCGTCTCTCTGTTGATGCGGAAAATGATACCTCCCTCTACTGTGTCTTGGCGTGCGATCGGATAGCGTCTCGGTTGGGCCTCTTGATCCTTGCCCAAAGCCCCGAGTCGGTGCCCAAGATGAAACGCACCGTCACCATGGGCCAGCTGGTATGGCGCGGCAGCACATCGTAAAACTCGGGTGCCATCTTGCTCAGCTGTGGCAACCGCGTCCACGGCACACTGGGAAAGTCGTGGTGCTCGTTGTGATAGCCCACATTGTACGCCAGCACGTTGAGCGGTCCATAGTACGACCAGGTCTCCTGCTGGATCCCGCCAAACATGTAGTGTTCGGCAATGAAATGCGCGGCGCACGGATGCAGACTGCCGGCAAAGAAGCTGCTCTGCAGCAGATAGACCAGCGCGGTCCATCCGGCATAGCGCACCAGTGCAACATTCAGCACGGCGATAAAGGCCATGTTGAGCGCATGCCAGATCGTCGGTCGTTGCGCCCGAACGAACCCGGGTCGCAGCGCGTAAAAGAAGATCTGGAACGTGGCAAAGAACGCCTTACCGAGCACGTTGCGCAACACCACACTCTCGAGCTTGGTGGGCAGGTCCGTATCCGTGCCGTCCTCACCGAGGTACTTGTGGTGCTCGAGGTGGTACGGCTTGAACGCCATTGCATACGGCACGCCAATCGCACCGTTGACAAGGATCGCCCAGAGTCGGTTGGCGCGCAGGCCGCGGAAGGCAAGGTTGTGCGTGATCTCGTGGATGGCCAGGAACGTGTTCTGGTTCGCCGTACCGCCCACGGCATACGCGAGGAGCAGAAACTGCCACGAAAACGGATGCAGCGACGTGTACTTGGACAGATACACCGCCAGGCCGAGTTGGAGCAGCAGCACGGCGAGCGAGACGTACTTGGTGAGCGGCTCGTAGCCCATGAGCCTTCGCACCTCGGGATGCGCCTTGAGGATGGCCATGCGACGCGAGCGGTGCGGCTCCTCGGTGTGCATCCAGAGAAAGTCCTGCTCGGGCGTGGATGCGATGCGGGGCAGCCACGCTTTGCCGTCGGTAGCTGTGACGCCAGCCGACTGCGATCCGGGCGGCAGGATGGTGTGTTGTGCGCGCGAGACGTCGGGCAGCGGCGCATCGTCGAGCTCGTGCTTAGGCGTGCCACTCTGGGGCGAGACATCGTCGTCGTCGCTGGTGAACGAGGTGGACGAGTCGGCGGTGTGCGAGAACTGCGGCGACGACGAGCGCGAGTTGCGTGCCGACGACGTGGAAGACGACGAGGTGCTCGAGACGTGCGAGCGTAGAGGCGGACGCGGCGCAGGCGTGGGTGGCGAGGTCCGCTCGGCTCCACCGTACAGCGACCAGTCGACGTGGACGGTCGAGTTCATGGCGCGTCGTGCGCCATCCGCGAGCGAGGAGAGCATTGCGAAAGAGACGCAGAGACGACCAGCGGCTCCGAGAGATCTAGTGTGGCAAATGGGCCCCGCGTTCGAGGTTCGAGGGTCGAGGCTGCAGCTAGTGGATGCCAGAGCTGGGGGGCGTGTGCTCGATTCTATCGCCGTATCTACAGCAGCCGTGTCGCACGAGGAGCAGTTGTGGAGGAGTGAGGGACGGTGAGGTGATGGAAGCGGATGAGGCCCTGTTGCCCAGGTGGACCACCAGCAAGGACCCCTAAAGCGCTGCGTATCTGGAGAAGCCTCGACTCGGCGCTCATTCGACCGCTGGCTGGGCTGCGCTGCGCTGCGCTGCGCTGCACGGACGGTGGAAACGTGCATGTGCCGCCGCTCACTGCCCTCTTTTTTTCTTCCTGCTCTGAATTCAACCTCTTTTTGAGACACACAGACGGGCCAACAACGCCGGTCGCCACGCCACGCGCCCCGACAAGAAGCCTAAAATTCGCGCACTGCTGCACCCTCGGCCCTGCCCAAACCCCACCGCCACCACTCACACTCTAACATCCAGATCATCAGCGCAACACGCAGGCTTCGGCTGTTGTGCCGATCGTATTGCATGGACAGCTACACTTCTTCTGGCAGTTCGGGCAGCCAGAACGCAACTTCCGCTCCGGCGCTCATGAACTCTGTGGTCGATTAGCGAAGAAGAGGGGGCAGAGGGGCAAAGGGGCAGAGGGTCAGTCAGTACCATCCAAGAGCAGCATTGGGCTGGGTGGCCGGCCCACTTACGCGCGAATCGTGGATTGAAGGCGAGCACGCGACTTGTGCCGTCGTGGCCGGACTGCTTGAAGCGCGGGCGCAGGTTGCGGAACTCGTTGCGCCGCGCCTCGTCCAGGTCGATGTGCCAAAAGACCACCGAGCCATCTGCCGAGCCGGAGAGCACCCACTTGCCGTCCGGGCTCCAGCACACCTCGTGCCCACTGATGCCTGCCTCGGCGACCATGCCCATGGCGGTGCCCGAGGCGCGTTCGAGTCCCTCGTGCCCCACCAGCCTCGCCACGACGCCGGCCTCTTGGCCCGACTCGGGCAGCGTATCGACAACATAGTGGACGTCGCTCGAGGTGCCCAGCAGCAGGTACTGGCTGTCGTTGCTGAACGTGAGCGACGTGATGACGGGCACGCGCGGCGGCATCGACACCTTGGACAGCGCCGCCGAGTCGTCCAGATGGATCACCTCGAACGGATTCTGGTCAAACTTGCGCACGTCGTACAGCAGCACCGCCGCACGCTCGTTGATCGCCACGGCAAACACCCTGCCGGACGGATCGTAGGCGACGACGGGATGCCCGCGCACGTTCATGTGCCCGACGTGCTTGGGTGAGCGCAGATCCCACAGCCGCACCGCCTCGTCCACACTCGCCGACAGAAACGTGTCGCTCTGCGGACTCATCTGCAGCGACACCACCGGCTTCTCGTGGCCGTGATAGTAGCGCGTATACGCCTTGGTCTTGAAGCTGTACATGCGGATCGCGTTGTTCTCCTTGGTCGAGGCATAGATGACCGTGTGCGCGTCGTGCGTGAAGCGCGCCAGGTGCGTGCCGTACTTGAACGAGGCGCACGTCGACTTGTGCGTGCCCGTCCGGACGTCGTACAGATGCATCTGATCGTCTTGGCCCGTCGTCACGCAGAATGCGCCCGTGTCGTCGAAAGAGGCCGAGGTGATCGAAGTGCCCTTGCCCGTGTACTGCGTAAACACCTTGGCCGGCTTGAATCCCGACATGAGCTGCGATGTGATGGCCAGCTTCCTGGCGTCGCTCGGACCCGCATTGGCGCTCGACGACGACGATCCCGAAGCCATCGCAGCGGCCTTGGTGGAGAGTGCGGGAGCTTTGAGAGTTGACTGCGCCTCGACAAGAAGCAAAGGTGGAGCAGCGCGCATTTCAGGGTCTCCTTCAGTCGCGCACTTTCCGCATCCCGAGCTGCATAGAGTCGAATTGTTAGATCGACAATCGAGTGAGTGGCAGCGCGTCTGGCTCAGTCGGCAACCCAATTGGCCGAGGCGGAGCTCATTTTTGGCAGCGCACCCAAGGCCATCACCTTCTTTCCTCGACCAATTGGACCGGTGCCTGCGCCGCCTGTCAAGCGCACGTTTCCGCTACAGTATATCAATGGCAGCCGTTTCCTCAAAGACCATCCAAGAGGACGGATGGCTTTGCAAGGCATGACTGCGCTTCATAGCGGTGCGAGCAAACCATGAGACCAGGCTGCGGGGCAAAGTTGGCCAATTTCACGCCAAAAAACACGGACGCATCCCGACCGCTCGCTCGCTCCCTCGCTCCCTCGCTCGGCTCCCAAGGCGGAAAAGGCTGAGCCGAGCTGCTGTCCACTCAAGGCAGCCCAGCGCGGCGCGACTTTGGACCCTTCATTTTTGACGCTCCGCTTCGGCCTTTCGCCTTTGGCCCTGTCGCTCGCTCGACTTTGAGATGAGCTTTCCTTCTTGTCGTCCATCCGTCCCTTGCTTGCTCGGCAACACCATCCTTCGCATCCATTGCACCAACATGGTATCGCCCAAGCCAGAGGCCTACCACGACGGCCTCTACCACCTCGCCGCCGCCGCAGAGTCTTCGCCCTCGCCACAACCCACCCACTACCCCGACGCACACTCCTTTGGCCCCTACCATCAGCAGCAGCAACATCAGTATGCTCCCATTGCTGCTGCCGCACACCGTCCCGTGCATCCACAACCACAGCAGTACAGATACGCCGACCGCATCTATTCGCCCTCCTCCGCCTCCATCCCCTCCACCTCCTCGGCCTCAGCCGCGCCGTCCAAGCCTACGTTGGACGACCCGGCGCTTCGCACCTCCAACGCCGACGCCGCCGCCGCTGCTGCAGCAGAGAAAAAGATCTCGTGCATGGAATGCCGCCTCTCCAAGGTAAAGTGCTCCGGCGGCGACCTCTGCACGCGCTGCAAGCGTCTCGGCAAGGAGTGCTTCTACAAATCCCACAAGCGCGGCAGAAAGTCGGACAGCTCCAAGATCCAGAAGCTCGAACGCACCGTCGACTCGCTCAGCCGCGCGCTTGAGCACTTCTCCAAGAACAAGATCGCCGTCGCATCCCTCAGCTCCCAGTCGCCCGACGCCGCTGCCGTGCACAGGATCATCTCGCGTGCCGGCGCCGCCGACTCGGAAGACGCCTCGTCTCCCGATGCATACTGGAAGGCCGCAGACCCAGCTCGCAATCCCAATCTCTCCTCGTCCTCAGCCAATGCCATGTCGCCACCCGCACATTCGCCTCGTGCGCCCGGGCCCAGGCCCAACACCTACCGCGACCCGCCGGTGCATGTGCATCGCCGGCCCTCGGAGGTGTTCCGCCAGCGCTCCACCTCGGCCACCTTCCAGACGCCACAGAGCATCGCCTCGGCCACGCCCACCTCCGACGACCCAGACGAGCCCGAAAATCTCGGCCTGCCGACGCTCTCCAACCCGCTCAAGCTGCTCGCCCAGGCGAGCGACTCGGCAGCGCGAGACCGCGACTCGGCCAACGACCCCTCCGACCGCGCATCCTCGTCCGACAACAACGACGCCGCTTCGCCCCACGATGCCGACGACGCCGCTTCGGCCAGCGGTGCAGACGCTCGAGATCAGCTCAACACCAAATCAGCATCTTCCACCGGCAATGTCGTGGGTACAGCGGGGACGCACTCGGCCGCCGATCGGGCTGGTGCGCCATCCGGCTCCTCCTCCGCCAAGCGCGAGCGGCCGGACCACGCAGGCCAGCCCAGCCTGTTTGCGACTGCGTTTGGCTCGGCCACCACCAACACCGTCTCGCGCTTCGGCCCCGGGCGCGGCAAGGCGTTCTTCGACATGGGCCTCTTCACCACCAAGCTCGACAACCTGCCGCACTTTGACCCCATCGACCGCGGCTACCTCACGCTCGCCGAGGCGCAGAGTCTGTACGCGGTGTTTATGCAGTACATCAACCCGGCGCTCACGCTGCTCGATCCGCACCTGCACACGTTCGACTATGTGCGCTCGTCGTCCGCGCTGCTGCTGAGCTGCACCTGCTGGATCGCGGCCAAGTACCGCGTCGAGGCGAGCCAGATCGCGTCCGACCTCGAGATGCATATCCGCTCGAACCTGCTGCCGACCATTCTCATGGAGGGCTTCAGGAATGCCGAGATCCCGCAGGCGCTCATCATTCTGGCCGCGTACCATCCGCAGATGAACACGCTCTCCGAGGACAAGGCGTGGGCGTATGTCGGGTTTGCCATTCGCATCGCCTCGGAACTCGACATGAACAGCAGGATCGCCACGCGGCCGATGAATCGGCAGGACGACGCGGGGCTCGCGAGGAGGTTGAGGAACAGGGAGAGGACCTGGCTCAACTTGTGGCTGTTCGAGACGAGCATGAGCCAGCACATGGGGAGGAGGCCGACGCTTGCAAATGATCCCGTGGTCATGGGGTGTGCGCACTGGCATCTGGACAAGTTCGCTCTGCCAGGAGATAGGGCGATGGTGGCAGTGGTGCAGCTGCGCCTGCTGATGCTGCGCAACACGCAGCTGTTCGAGAACTTTGTCGATGTCTCGGCAACGCATCTGCCGGCAGAGCGCACCGCCAAGCAGGTAGAGCTCTTCCGGCGCATCTGCGCGTCGGACCTCGATACGTGGTTGGCCACCTGGACGGGTCCTTCGCCGCGCATCTCGGCTGACGATGCGCAGACCTCGCCGGCAAGGACGGTGGCGTCCGAATCCAGCACCGCCGGTTCGGGTGCATTGGCCAAGCCCGACTTGCCTCCGACGCTGTCGCGCATCCAGAGGCTCAAGCTGTACTACTGGTATGCGCGCCTGATCCTCGACACGATCGCGCTCAAGTGCAGCCATCTGGGGCTCGAGGTGCTCCGGCCGATCTACAAGGACGCGTATGCGTGCTGCATGGCGTACCTCGGCCTGTTTGTCGCCACCATGGTGCCCAACGGTCTGTTCTGGGGCCACAACTCGACCGTCGTCACGCCCGCTTACTGCGCCATCTTTGCGCTGCGCATCGTGGGGCTCATCTCAACCTCGGCTGGCGCGGCGAGTCTGCAGGTAAAGTCGCTGCCCCAGCGCGAGTCCGAGGCGCAGGTCGAGGATCTGGGGATTGACATCGATGCAGAGTACACGTTCGAGATGGTCGAAAAGGTGGCCAAGGTGTGCGAGGAGGCAGGCAAGGCTACGCCGCACAGGCGGGCGGCGGCGGGAAGCTATGCCTTCTTTCTGTTTACCGTGCTGGCCAAGGCCAAGTCCGCGTGGAGGGCCAAGCAGAACAAGCAGCCCGAGAGGACCGAGGGGAGTGGAGAGGGCAAGAAGCGCGCGCGCGACGACGAGGACAAGGGCGCAAGGCAGGGTAAGAACGCCAAACTGCGCACGGGGAGCAGGGAGCGCAGCGGTAAAAACGCAGGCGCGGCGACGGGTGGCGGGAGGGGCGGAGGGGGTGTCAAGAACGGCGATGCGCACGAGGGCGCTGGTGCGGCAGCGGCAGAGGCAGTGCCTCATGGTGGAGTGGCGGTGGCGCCGACGCAGGCGGGCGAGGACGCAACGAGCGAAAGCGACCACCACTTCCTGCGCCAGCTCATGCAGTTCCAAGCGGGACCCAGCGGTGTACAGACCGCGCTTGTCTCGAGCTCGACACCCGCACATGGCCAGCATACCC